AATGTTTCAGAGATACAGAAATGAGACATAACTATATATTTCACTTTTCTCTCCTTTTGTTCTGATGAATTTTGAAAATCTGTGATCCTGAATACTTCAGTTCCACAAGATGAGATCCTTCAATTTGAAGAGATGCTGGCAAAAAGCATTCTTTTAATAAGTAGTTGTCATTAGAATTGCTCTTCCCTGGGACTTTGTCTCCAGACTTTTGAAGAGAGCTTTACCTTTTGTGAGTCATTTTATGAGATCCTTGGAACTTTTCTAGAAATTACCTCTTGAATTTTCATAGTCTTTGTGAAAAGTTTGTAATGTTTAAAAGTATTCAAAAAGTGAGTTTAGTATCAAAAGACAATAATTTAGGGAATCAATAGCCCTACTTTTCTTACTTGGCATGTCGAATTACTTGATGATATTCACAGTGGTGCAGCTGATGATAGGGTAGGGTCAGTCATATACCTATTTTTTCTCTACATATCCCTATAGTTGAAAAGAATCATCTCTTTAAAAAAACACCACAGCAGTGTGTGTGTGTGTTTGTGTGTGTGTGTGTGTGTGTGTGCTGACCTGCATCCTTTTCCATTTTGATGGAAAGTTTTATTTGTATATTTCATACCCTTGTCAAGTCATAAGTACTCACCCTGTTTAGGAGTGAGCTTTAGGTATTATGGGAGCTTTAAAATATTTTCTGAATGAATAAAAATGGCTAGGAAGTGATTGTATTACAGTGGATCTGTGAAACATTGTGGGGATTATGACTTTCACAGTTACAACACAAAACCTGACTCACACAAAAACAATGATAATAAATGGTTAAAGATAGTAGAGCTCCTCTACTCTAGATATATGCAACTTATTTTGTCAAAGAATTAAAATGTGTAGTCATTTTTCATTATATACATTATAATTTCCCTACAGTTAAAAAATGTAGAGAGAGAACACATGTACACTGAGCCCATAGCCCTGGTTCTCTCTGATTGACAGAACAAACCAGCTCTCACTCTAAGAGTCAGCTCATGGAAACCTCAGCCTGCCACCTGACCCTTCAGGGAGAACACTCATTTCCTTTTCTTCCCATTGCCTAATTAGAATCTCATATCCAGTCTCTGCCACAAGAATTCTGTGGCTGACTCAGTAGCTAAAGTCTGCTTAGGCTTCCAGTATCTACATATTAATTTCCTCTGGGCACCAGTTTGAAATTACAGAGAACTTTCTCAGCAAGTTCATGGCCCTGCTGAGCCTGGAATCAATTGTAAGACAATCCCAAATGACTTTTCCATCTACGGCTCTTCAGTCCTATTCATTGATGTAGCAGTAAAATTAATCTTAAGGAAAAGACATTTTACTTAGTTTGAGCATTCCATTTCTAGATGGTTTGAATGTTTAAGTGAAATAAAGATTCAGAGCCACACAAGATTCTGTGGGATTGGCACACAGTCTTACTTTCACACAGCAGAACAGCTTTCCCCCTTGTACAAAAATTTGCCTTAGGAACTCTCCAGAAAAAAAAGAAGCCTTGTTTTACCAATTCATTTTAAAAATCACTAACTCTTCAGAGATTGCGTTAAAAACACTGATATGATGATATTGATTGTGCTTACAAATACGTTTAGAGACAGAACACAGAGTGCTGACTTCCTTTTAATATGTGTCTTATATCAGGTCCCTAGGAAGCAGAGCCTGAGGCAGGGATTCCTGTCCAAGTGGCTTATTGGAAAAGAGAGCTGTCCAGATAAAGGAGATGAGGAAAGCAGGACTGTGCAGGGCAAGGAGCCAAGCAGTGATGTGGTCTTAGTTTAGTCCAATCTAGATCCTGCGGGGCTCTCTGGATATGCACTTTACCTTGAAAGTGATCAATTTGGGGGGAAAGGACTAGCTTTATTGTCTGTCTGGTCAGCCCACTATTTGCTGTAGGCTCTCCCCAGGGGCGGGGCTATCTGTAAGTGAGGTTGCTGTAATGAGGTAAATGAAATTCTTTGGAGAAAAGAGTAGCCAAAAACTGTTATTAACTTCTGCTTGCAGCAGCTGTGATATGAATATTGTACCCTTGCAAGAGATCTAGATGTGAGATAGGAACAATACCTACTATTCTCTCTTTAAGGGTAAGCCTACTCCTAGCATTATTTTACATACTAAGTAAATGCAAATTCAGAATCATTACTCATAGAGAGTTAACACCACTTCTCTGTTGGAGGAGAAAGACAATTTTTTTAAAAATTTAAAACTAATTCTAATGTTACAAGCCCTCATTCCACGGCAGGCTTAACCCTTATGGTGATATTACTAGAGACTTCATTTAGAATGCCTTTCACTCCACCGATCCAAAACCTTGAATGTGGAGCTTAAGCAAATGGATTCTTGAGAAGAGAAACATAGCCCAGCAGCAATGTAGTTACTTCCCAACATAACTGAAAGACTATATCCTGTACGTTAGTTACTTATACTTGCTTTTGCTTATTGTAAAAACAATGACTTCCTTAGAATTCACATGAAACAGACTTATTCTTACTCACTGAAAGAGGTTACACTATCACTAGTTTATGGAAATATGATTTGTTTAGCGCAACCTGTTCATTAGAAATTCCATACAAATGTAATGTAAGTTAGGACGCTCAGTGGTTACACTTTAAAGCAAAATGAGATATAGTAAATACCAATAATGCATTTGATTTAATTTAATATACATCATGTATTATCATTTCCATATGTAATAAACATAAAAAATAAGGTACCATCAGAATTGAAGACGTAGACACCATTCCAAATATACCCAGTCACCTTATCTTTGACAAAGGAGCCATATATGTTCACTCAAAGAAAGACAGCCTCTTTAATAAATGGTGCTGGAAAAACAGGCTTTCCACATGCCAAAGACTAAAACTAGATCCATGTCTGTCACTCTGCACTAAACTAAAGTAAAAGTGGAACAAAGACCTAAATATTAAAAAGAAAACACTTTCTATTGGGAAAGAAAACAAGTAGTAATCTTGAAGACATAGATGTGGGCAGAGTCTTAGGAACAAAACCTTAAGAAATACTACAAAGAATCAACATATGGGATCTCACCTTATTTAAAAGCTTTTGTACAACAAAAGAAATCACCAACAGAGTGAAACAAACAACCCACAGAGTGGGAAAAATTTATTGCCCATTGTCCCTCAGACAAAAAAAGACTTATATCTCGAACACAGAAAAGAACAGAAGAAAAAAAAAAAAAAAAGACTTCCCATATTCGAAGATCCAATCCAAAAATGAGCATCTGACTGCTGAACACATGCAAATGTCAAATAAATATGTGAAAAAATGTTCAACATCACTGGGATAAACATCATCATTTGAGCAATGCAAATTAAAATAATACTGAGATTCTATTCTCCAGAAAGAATGACTGCCATCAAGAAATCAACCAATGATAAACGTTGGTGAGGCTGTAGAAAAAAAGAAACCCTTCTTCACTGTTGCTGGGAATGTAGTCTGGTGCAACCACTGTGGAAATCAGTACACTGATTTCTTAAAAACATGTGATTTCTGTTTCAGTAGACCCAACTACTTCTTTTTGGGTATCTTCCTAGAAAAATTACAAACATCATACCACTATGATATATGTGCACCCATATTTATATCAGCAAAATTTGTAATAGCTAAACTTGGAAACCACTCAAATGCCCATCAGACAAGGAATGGATAAAAAGATATATATATATATATATATATATATATATATATATATATATGTCCAGGGATCTGGCTCAGCAGCACAAGCACTTGCCTGCCAAGCACAAGGTCCTGAGTTCATTTCTTGGTGCCAAAAAACAAAAACAAAGTGTTTCAGATTATGGACTGTGGGTTTAGCTCAGCAGCACAAATGCCTGTCTGGCAAGCATGAGGTCATGAGTTCTATACCCAGTACATGAAAAAAAAAAAAGGAAAAAATTAAAAAAGACTCAGACCTTTGCCAGATGTGGTAGTGCATGTTTGTAATCCTAGAACTCAGGAAGCTGAGGGAGGAGGATCGTTGCGAGTTCAAGACCAGCCTGGGCTACGAAGGCCAATCTGAACTGCATAGAGAGACCTTGTTTCAAGAAAACACACACACACAAACACACACACACACACACACACACACACACACACACACACATATATACATACATATATAAAACTCAGCCATAAATAAAGATAAAGATACAACTTTTGTAAGTAAATGTATGCAACTTGAGACTATACTCATAAGTGAAATAAATCAGATCCATATATGTAAGCACTGCATTGCCTCACTAGTGTGACAAGATAAATGAGCAAATCAGATCCAAAATGTACAAAAGACATTGTGAATTGGGAGGAAACTGTTCGAAAGAAAAGAGAAACTAATGGCGAAAATGGGAGAGGAAGGAAAATAAGATATATATATATATATATATATATATATATATATATATATGACGGGACAGTTATGTAGCTAGTTTTTCTTAGTTACTTGAAAAGAAACATTTGTGGGTGTATTGTTTGAACAATATTTACACCTATGTTTTGTACTCTGAGTAATTACTGTGAAGATGACAATCCACAATGTATCAATTTTTGTTACTCTATTAGACTGATGTGAAACTCTGTTTTACTTCTTCTTTTTAAAGTAAAAAAAGAAATAAAATAATATTTTAAATAGTATATGTATTATTTAGAATAATATTTTAAAAATAATAAAAGTGGGCGTTGTGTGCACACCTGTAATCCCAGCTCTCGGGTGGCTGAAACAGGAGGATCATCGTAAGTTCGAGGCCAGCCTGGGCTCTAAATGAGCTCATGGCCAGCCTGAACTGTATAATGAGACCCTGCCTCAAAAAAAAAAAAGAAAAAAAAGATGCTTTGAATTATTTTAAGTCATTGAAGTCTGGTGTATGATAAGATTTACAGTGTAAATCAATGAGATTCGTCACATGTCAAGTTCTCAAGATCCAGTAAGACAAGACTCTACATTAGACAAGACCAATCTTGATTTGTACCTGGAAGGTAGCCTGGAAGCTCCTTGTCCAGAGATCTTGGTATGTTTGTTTCTGCCTTAAAGAATCTTGGGTCTGTTACCTAGAAAAAAGAAGAGAAGGTTAGATCCTAAGGAGGAAACTAGTTCTTGCTCCAAGCCCCAATTTGGATTTCTACTAACATTTGAATATACACAATCTCTTGATTTGTAAATGCTCCCACAACTGGGATCTCCAAGTTGAGTTTCATCTTACTGAAGCATATATTTGGGAGCAGGTGCTTCTTTAGTAAAATTGTGACCTGAGATCAGAATCTGATCTGAGAACAGAATTCTATAATAATGAGATCCAGAAAGCAGGCATTTTTCTGGAATGAGGTAGACAGAAGGAATGTGGACCATCTTATAAGGGCAGGTGGGAATTTGATGATAGGTGATGGGAAATGATATTCTTCATCATTTGAGCACAGACTTGTGTGCCCCTCGCCTGCCCTGGAGCTCAGTGGCAGCTCTAGGTCTGACCATACAGACTGCTTCCTACTCAGGTCCTTATGTCGGCCTCTCATTGATGATTTTTTCCTAGCAAAAGAGCATCTCTTTAAAGAAAGTGGAAGTTCAGAAATGCTAATGAGTGTCTGCAGGTTAAGTGCTAAATTAATCGGGGATAGATGTAGATGTGGAAACACCTCTGCCTCCTGTCCTCTTGGAGAACAATTATATAGTTTATACAGTTCCTCAGAAGGTCTTGGCAGGATGAAACCTCAACTATCCACAGAAATAGGTTTTCATCAACACATCTCACTGGCCCTCCTCTTCCTTTTCAGTGAGTTTGTGAGGATTACACACCAAATGGGACACTTCTAGTTGAGTCCTTAAGTCAGCATTTGCTATATAGTAAATCCTCAAATCAAGATACTTTATGTAGGGGAGAAAGTGTTAATCTAACAGAATCTACAATTAGCAAGTATACGTTCACTGATTTTTACTTTGAATTTTTTAACATTATTTTTGTAGCCTAAAACTGTGTATAGACAAAACAACCCTACCTCCCTCCTATGAAATTCCTAGCTGGGGCCAAGATTTCACCTGATAAAACATAGTTCAATTGACGAAATATACAGTACAGTTTTAAGTGGCATGAAAGCCCATAAAGAGACACAAGCCTAAAGAAGAATGAAGAATTAGTTACCAACATACTGAACTGGGCAAAGAATAGTAAACTGAAAATGTGACTAAATTATGGGAGAAGGCATAAAGGATAAGACTTGTTCTCCAAGGCCTCTTCAGTCTTCTCTGGGTGTCAACTTCTTGACCTTGAAGATAAGGCTGTTGTCTTTCCTTCTGGTAACTAAGAGTGTTTTTCTCATGAGAATCTCCTCTGTTGCTCTTAAGAGACAGCACAAAGGTTCAAGGTGATCTTCTTGCACCTGCTGTTTTCAAGCGCCTTTTAACAGATGTGGTCAATATGCCAAATAATGTATTTTAACCCCTACACCTACCCATCCTTCCTTTACCCCACAGTTTCAAGAAATGTAAGAAATAAGCTATACTCATACAATGGGTGATAAATATTTAATTTCAGGTAGTAGTTATTAAAAGGATGAAAGAACAAGTTAAATATTCCCAGTAAGACCCAGAGGTTCTTACCTCCAAGTCCACTATGTGCATCTAAATAGACCATGGACCGCTACTGCACTGTCAGTACAGTGGGTGTACAGGTATGTGGCTAGATTAAGATTATATAAATTTAGAATAAGTCCTAAGTTGCACTAGACATCTCACATGCTCACTAGACACATGGAGCAGTCGGTTGGCACACCATATTAAACAGTGCAGATTGCTGTCATTGTTAAAAATACTGTGGGCCATCATTAACTGGAGTCTCATAGTTGGCAAATATGAAGACGTCATAATATGTCTTATTTTGCACGGCAGCCAGGCTCACTGATCATTCCCTTCTTCTTTCCCTTGGGCTTGTGGCTTCACAGTCCTTCCTAAAACAGAACTCCAGCCTGACCCTGTTGGACGACAAGAATTTTCTCCCATATCGGGCTAGGTACTGCTCAGTTACATGGAACAACAACAAAAACATCAATTCTAAAAATCACTGGCTTAAAACACCAAGGTTTTGTTCTTTTTGGGACACACTTTAATGTGGGTTAGGTCTCTGGTTCTCTTACGCAGGCATCTGTTACGTGTGATGGTATCCAGGATGTGTCCATCAAAGGGTGCTCTGGAAAAATGGCTATCTCCAGGAGCAGGCTTGGTAAGTGCAGAATGTTCTGGCATATTTATGAATTCCTACACCTTTCTCCTTTCCCTGCAGAAAGCATGAGGAGATTTTCCTCTGTTTGTCACTGTGAGAATGCCTGAAGGCAAAACTCACAGAAGTGTGGAGACCTCTAAGCCTGGGTCCCCTTGGATTTTTTGTCCTCAGTCTTGTCCATGTTAAACCTCCAACAACTCACCAGTTACAGTTTTTTCTTGAGTTTTTTATTGTCTTATTTTTAAAAAGAAAAACAGAATAAAAGGGTAGAAATAATACCAAGTTTCAAAAAATAGCAGTAAGAACTCAACACTAGTTAATATATTACACATTGTCATCTTAGAAGCAGCTGCTAAAGTTACAGGCTTTTATCCCTAAAACTGATTCCTGCAGAGGTATCCCTTTGAGGATTTCTGTTTAGGTAAGTTGTGATTTTCTTGTATCCGCCTGTCCGATTTTTAGGGCAGTCATTTGACCTGCGACCTCAAGTCTGAGAGACCTAAGAAGAACAGTTGATTTTTAGTTTTCAATTTTTACTTGTTATGATAGGAGCTTTGCAAACTCTTTATTTGCTAGAGAAAAAAATACTGAGTGCACCTCTCTGACAAACTGTGTTTTATGTTTCTGTTGGGGAGGGAGACAGGCTGTTCGATTTTCCCCTCCACCCCTTTCTTCCCTTTTCCCACACTGCATTTTCTGAGTGGACGCCTTCTCTACTGTTCTTATTAAATGTGATTTCTTTCACTAATGTCTTCTTCCCTGTGGTTATTAACTTCTTCCACCCTAAGTTCATTGGGCTGAAACTCATTATTGCATCTCAAATGTTCTTTTTACCTCACTTAAAAAGAATCCTGCCACGGTGATTTGAGGCATTAGATATTCCTTCCACACACAATGCTATACTGTGCCATATCATTCCAAAGACTGACGAGGCATATGCTGCAACTGTGGGACAAATGCTTTAAAAAATGAGCAAATTACCACGGTCATTTGTACCAGATACCTGCTGTCTGTATATCCCCAGCTGGTCCATCTCTCACAACACAGCTTCTGGATTCTAATTTTTAGGGCTTTGAACTAAAATGATATTGATTGGCTTGCCACCCAATGAGCTAGATGTTTCATTTGGTTCTTTCTGGCCAGCCTGGAGCAATGTCAATCTGTTCATTCTCTCTCACTCTCTCTCTCTCCCTCGCTGAACCTCACTTTTCCCAGGTGAACCTCTTTTGAATGGTTCTCTGCTAATACATCAGAGGAAGGAACAAAAGCCAATCTAGGTGATACAGAGCAGCAGATCACTGAGTGTTTGTTTTTCAATTTTGAAGCTTGCACTGGATTTCAAAAGTTCTGTGGACTACTGAGGAAATACCTGACTGCTTGGTTTTTGTGTTTTGGGAGACTATTTGATTTTTGTTTTTATGTTTGGTTTTGTTTTCATTAAATTGGCAATTGGCTTTCATGCCATAATAGGCATAGTTAAAATTAAGTTGCCTATTGCTTTCTCTTAGACACTTTTACAGACATGCTGGTTTTGAGCAATCACATCACAGTAAGCTCAGTGTTACTCTGGTATGACAGGGAATAAACTCTTATAATTAATTCATAATAGAAACTTGAAGATTTTAAATAACTATGAAATGCATCTAACATGAGTGTGGTGTTAAACAAAGTCTAATTTTCTTTGACGATTCAGAGAGCATTTTTATATTGTTTATTAGTTAATCATCATTATTAGGAAAACCAATAGCCAGCTAAGCAAGATTTCCAGTTGATACATACAGATGAAATAACTTTTAAAAATTTAGCACACCAAGCTCCTTTTTTTCAGAAGTATTGTTTATGTGTGTGTGTGTGCATGTGTGTGCATGTGTATATGTGTGTGCTCTATAAATAATTTATACCAATGATCATACTTCTGAAGCTGTCTTCTCTATAATATGAATATTAAGAGAAGCCATTTGTAACTCTAGAGCTTCCCTTTACATCTTCTTTGTCTGTTCAAAAAGGCTTTCCAGTTGGATCAAGTCTATGTGACACTGTCTTGAGCAGTGGCATATGCTAGCATACTAATATCAAAGTTACTGATTTTGTCCGAAACTAATGTCATTAGCATAACAGTTATTACACTGCCAACTTAAAATTTATTTAAGACATATGGAGCCACTCCTGAGATTCTCATTTCTTCAGATATTTATTCCAATCATGAGTTCTTTAGCAAAAACCTAGAACACAAGTTTACTTCCCTTCTTCTATGGCAGAAGGCACTCACTTTCTGCTTTGCTTCATGAGAGGAAGACGCAGCAAATAAGAAATTGGAGAGAAAAAGGATAGGAGAAAAGATCAGATGATCCTTTTCTGGAATTGTACACAAAATGATATAATTAGGTGAGTTATGATGGAACACAGAGTAGGGGAAGGTATACAGGCAGATTTCAAGTTCCAGAGACACAGAGAAACTCTCACTGTTGGGCTTCTTACAAGCAATGGAATTAAATGGTCACATCCATCATGGTTCTCAACACTCTATTTAGGTTTCCCAGAGATATTAGTTACCCATAATAGCCTCATCAATATTAGTGAAAATAGATTAAGAATGCTTTAGGTTTTAGAAATATCAATTATCTTTGCATTCTTATAATTTTTTAATTAATTATTTCTGCAGTTCTGGAGATTAAAGCCAGGGTCTCCCAAATGTTAGTCAAACACTCTATCATTGAATTACACCTCTAGACTCTGAGAAAGAAAACAGTGAGATACACATAGCCATCAGGACACTGTACATTCGTCAATGTCCACATAGAATGTGCCCTAAAAATAAACTTCTAGGTTTGCTGTGCT